CTTCACCACGCAATGCCAAGCCATGCTATGACATGCTATGCGCTGCCGTGCTCTTCTACGCCATACGTTCCCATCCATCGCGTACCCTCTTGGGATCATTGCCCTGCTCGACACCCGCCTGTGCGAATAGATAGGAGATCTACCCCATGATAAGGGCTGGGAGGGAGGGGTAGGACGTCAGATGTGACGCTAGCGCACTTGGCTTGTCCCTTCCATCCTCCCTAATTCCCCCTATTCCCCCTGTTTTAGGGGCTGCGCCAACTACACGTGGCAGGTAAGGAAGATATCCCTCGAAGACGAAGAGGGCGGGTATCGAGAGTTTGGGATATACATGTTGAGTCACACACGAGCAGATAACAGCGAACAGTCTACAAATGATTGCTGCTGGTGTTCTTGTCGTCGTGCCACCCGCGACCCACCTCGCGACCCACCCCGCGACCCACCCCGCGACCCGCCGCGCGACCCACCTATGGGCCCGTTGCGTAGTGCGTAAGAACAACAGGCGCCTGTGGCGGGCTTCTTCGGAGACTCGCAGACTGCCGACGACCCCGCCGCCCCCTCACTCTCATTTGCAACTGCGGGGCCAGGCCAGCGTGTGTCCATGTGACCCCAGCCCTCTTCGGGCAGGCCGAGCCTGCCAGGAGGCAGTAGATCTATCCCGGAGCCCAGCGATGACCTAGACAGAGCGTTCGCTGCTCTCTCAACTCCGCCCTGCCGCCGCTGTGTGGCCTGGACAGAGCCCCTGAGTCTTAGTAGCGTGCTGAGCGCCTCCCGTGGGCGCATGAAAGAGAACGAGATCTCCGTCACATCGGGCCCTCAGCCGGGCACCAGATCACTTGAGACTCCACTGGCACGGGCTCCCAAAATGACCCAGGACTCCAACGTCGTGATTTGCTCAAAACCTGGACTCCCAGAGGTCTGGACTTCTTGCTGGGGACCGGCTCTTCATCCCGAGCCAGTTCTTACGGCTCTTCGGCCCAGTCAGGGCCCCCGAAGCCCGAACCTTGCACACAACAAGGAGCAAGCAAAGAAGCACCCCACGATGCTCTCGCAAGACGAGGAGGACTGGGGTTATCAACGCCTCTCCTCTCGGTTGCAACTTCTGGGAGGTAAAATTCAGCAACGGGGCTGGTATACCCGCGGCCGAAAGACCCGCCTAGCCCAGACCAGTCCTGTTTCATCCGACTTCATATTGGGTTTACTTTGGTTCAGACTGACTTGTGAGTTCCTTTCTCGGGACTACAATCAGGAGCTTTGGCTTAGCGTATCGCTCTGCCCGTTATGGCCCACCACGCTGCAGCGCGACACGTTGTCCATGTCACGGTCCCCATGCGTCCAGTCGTTTGCTTTTCCCGACCTCCCGCCCCACGGAGCGGAGCGACGCGCTATCCGCTTGCATGGTATAGCGTGTCGCCAGGGCCGCCGCCGCGACGGGCCAAGCACAAGTCCCTGACCGTAACACTCCGTGGCCGTTCCCGCGAAGGCCTCCCAGGAGCTGCCCCCTGACCACGCCCCTCCTGCTGCCGACCCCACCCCTGCGCGCTGGCGGCACGCCCCCCAGACCCCCGACGTCATGATTTCTTGATAACGTCGACCCCCAGAGGTGTCGACCCATTCCCCGGGACCGCTTTTTCATCACGAGTCGTTTTCTGACGGTCCCGAGGCCCGGTGCGGGCCCCCGAGGGCCGAAAACGGCGAAAGACCCCCCGTCGTGACGTTTTTCACGACGCGAGGGGGTCTGTGTGCCCTGACCACGCCCCTTCTGCTGCCGACCCTCCCCTCCTCCGCGCGCTGGCGGCACGCCCCCCATCGGCTGCCAGGAGGAGCGCTGGCGGCACGCACGGCAGGCCACGCCGACGGCCAGCCCGCCGGCGGCCCCGAGCGTGGAGGAGCGCGCGGAGTCTCACCGAGCACGTTCCACGGAGGGGGAGGAGGAGGAGGAGGAGGAGGAGGAGGAGGAGGAGGAGGACGAGGAGGAGGAGGAGGAAGAAGAGGAGGAGCAGAAGGAGCAGGACTCTCAGGCGGGGGCGGCAAAGAGGGGGTGATGACCAGGGGCGGGGGGTAATTATCATGGCAGGGGCCATGAGATCTCCCCAGATTTCAGGGCGCCGCTTCTCGTTTCAATGCGTCCCCGGGCCCCCCCTAGGCCGCGTACATGCCGCTGGCCATGATTTGCGCCCCCCCCTCTTGGACGACCCCCTCGTGGCCGCCCCCGATACTCGCGAACGTCCAGAAAGCACTTGTCTGCATCGATGTGATTTCTCGTAAATCCCCCATGGCGGATCCAGGCCATTTGCGAGCAGATACTCTGCGATTAGTGGAACGCGCTTGCCCAGAGTCGCTGCTCTCTTCGGGCTGTGCCGAGGGCTCGCCACCACCAGATCTGGGCGTCGCACAAAGGAAAGGTCTTGGCGGCAAGTTCCCTGAGAGCCGACGACGCGACCAGCGTGCAGCATTCCCAGACCTCCTCGCGCTGGTAAAAATCGCGACGGGAGGTGTTTCGCCATGTTCGGCCTCCGGGGGCCCTTCCCGGGCCTCGGGACTGTCAGAAAATGTCTCACGATGAAAAGCCGGTCCCTGGGAAGGGGTCCAGACCTTTGGGGGTCGACATTCTGAAAAAAACACTACGTCGGGGGTCTGGGTTCCGTGAAAAATCACGACCGAAGCCCCAGACCCCGTTTTCTTGCGGCAGTTTTCAAGCCAGATCGAGATGTCAGGGTCCCGGGGCAAAGGCTTTCCAACGTTTTTTCTGAACGATGGATGTTGCACAACATGCCCATCCACCGGCAATATTGCAGTATTTTGTTCATCCACCAGTAGATCTTAACAAGGAGTGCTATCATCCACCGGTCATACAACAACATCCACCGAAAAACAAGCAGGCACCGGTAATCCAAGATCCACCATGGTCCAGGAGAGGGTCGGCCGCTTCAGGGTCACAAGTGTTTATCTTGCCAGCGGGCCAGGTTGATGTGTTTGGGGTAGCCTCTCCTCCTCGCTCCTCCTTCGTATCATCCTCCTCCTCATCATCATCATCCTCATCCTCATCCTCATCCTCATCCTCCTCATCCTCCTCGTGGAGGACGCCTGCTTCACAACGAGGAGAACGGAGGAGGAAGAGGAGGATAAACGTGAAAGGATGGAGGAGGAGGAGGAGGAGGAGGAGGAGAAGAAGGAGGAGGACGAGGAGGATGAGGAGGAGGAGTAGGAGGAGGAATGAGGAGGAGGAGGAGGAGGAGGAGCAGGAAAAGAAGGAGGAGGAGGACGAGGAGAAAAAAAAGGAGGAAGGGAGGAGGAGGAGGAGGAGGAGGAGGAGGAGGAGGAGGAGTGGGTGAGAGGAGGAGGAGGAGGAGGAGGAGGAGAAGGAGGAGGAGGAGGAGGAGGAGAGGAAAGGAGGGAGGAGGGAGGAGGCGGTGACGTGGGAGGAGGAGGAGGAGGAGGAGGAGAATGAGCAGGAGGAGAAGGAAGCGGAAGAGAAGGAGGGCGGAGGAGAAGAAAAAGACCGAGGGAGGCGGAGACGCGGAGGAGAAGGAGAAGGGAGGCGGAGGACGAGGAGGAGGAGGATGTGATGGAGGAGGAGAGGGGGGGGAGGAGGGAGGACAGGAGGAGGAGGAAAGGAGGAGGAGGAGGAGGAGGAGGAGGACGAGGAGGAGGAGGAGGAGGAGGAGGAGGAGGAGGAGGAGGGGGCGGACGGAGGAGCAGGATGGACCACGAGCACTGGGAAGGAGACGGAGGAGGTAACGAGGATGGAGACGAAGCAGCAGCAGAGGAGGGAGCGCCCAGGAGCCGCAGCGGCCGCCGGAGCCCTTCGAGCTCCACGCGCCAGCCCTGGAGGAGCCGCGCCAGCCGCCTCGGCGGTCTCCCGCCGCCGCCGCCGCCGCCTCGCGCGCGGACGGCGACGACCGACGGCGAGCGACGACCGACGACGACGACGACGACGACGACGACGACGACGACGACGACGACGACGGCGAAGACGACGAGCGACGAACGACGAGCGACGGCGACTACCACCAGAACGACGACGACGACGACGACGACGACGACGACGACGACGACGACGACGACGACGACGACGACGGCGGACGACAAGCGACGACGGCGACGGCGACGACGACGGCGACGACGACGACGACGAGCGACGACGAGAGCGGCCGCGGCGGCGTCGTCCTCGTCGAGGCTGTGCGAGATGCTGCGGCGGCTCTCGGGGGTGCCCTCGGAGGCTCCTCCAGAGGTGCCCTCTGGGAGGGGTTCCCCCGGAGGGGCTCTCGGGAGGCCTCTGGGGAGCTGCGAGGGAGGCAGGAGAAGACGAGGACGGGGAGGAGGGAGGAGGGAGGAGGGAGGAGGGAGGACGAAGGAGAGAGCAGCTACCCCGCGGCTACATGCTGAGCCCGCTGGGCACCTCGGCCCCCCTCGGCCGCCGAGTGGGCAAAGGCGCGAGCTCGCTTGGCTGACGCGCGCAGCTCAAAATTTCAAAGGGCAAGCCAGTTCTCGAACACCTGCCCTCCTGGGTGAGGGAGGAGGCGGCAATGAGCCCACTGAAGGCCAAAAGATGGTTGCGGGCAGCAGCTCTACGGAAGGCCAGGAAGGTGTTCCGCGAGCTGACGACACGCGTTCAAAAACTGGTGCTGCCCTCCGTGGCCAAAAATGCTCGCCTTCAGTGAGCTCTGCGGCCCGCCCCAAGCATTGGCCACAAGCGGGCGGGCGGGCGGGGCCCCGGCCACGCGGCGCGCCCCGCCAGGAGGCCATGGGCAGGCTGCACGTGCTGCGGGAGCGCATGGGGCTGCTGCAGGACGCGCCGAGCCCTCGCGGCCGTCCCGCCACGCGGGGGGAGGGGCCTCCCGCCGGGCGGATCGCGCGCCAAGGATCGCTGGGAAGCGCCGCAGCTGACCAGTCATCGTTGCGTTGGTCGGAGGTTCACATCTTGATACCGCTGAAGGAAAAACCGTGCATCAAGAGTTAGGGGGCCACTTCGAGTACACCCCCCCGCACTCCCCAGCCTTAATCTTGAGCAGTTGGTCCCGGAGGAGAGCGGCCGGAAAAAACTTGAACCCAAGATCTCGATCGCAACGCATCCAATGTTAAGGCCGGGGGGAGGGGGGGGGAATGCGCTTCTTTGTCGTCGCAACGTTGTTGATGTAAAGCTGTTTTTTCAACGGTAGGACCACCACTCTGCCAGGTCGATCGGCGAGTTGCCCGTGTGTCGGTTCTCGGCAGAGGGGGCTCCGCGCCCGCGGTGCGTGCGGGCCTGCGCCCGCCGTTTCTGGCCGGCGATCGCGTATGCCAGGATCGTTGGGAGGCGCCGCAAGTGGACCAACTGCTGGGTCGACTGGAGGTTGATCTCACCGAGCGCGTTCCACTACTCACATAGTGCCTACTCGCAAACGTCCAACAACAAAAAACGTCTGCCTCGACGTAACGTATAGCTAAACCTCCTCGGCGGATCCAGGCCATTTGCGAGTAGTTACTTTGCGAGTAGTGGAGCGTGCCTGTTCGTGATAGGAACACCACCTTGCCAGGTCGATTAGCGAATTGCTTTTTTGTCGGTTCTCGCGAGGGTTCTGCACCCGCAGTGTTTGTCCACTCTTGCGTCGGGCAAGCGTCTGCAAGACCCGCTCGCCCTGGCTCGGTTCAAGATCATGACGTGAAAGGCTTCCGACAAAGAGCGCCGTCTTCTTTCAGTAGGGTCCGATCTCGAGCAAGGAGGTGTGACATCAGCAAATCCCGCATGATGGATTAGAATGCTCTTCGAGCAATTTCAGCATTGTCAGCGTAGAAGGTAATTGAGTTGCGGAGAGAAGAGCCCATTAGGTGCCCCCACGGGTTGCCAGTAGCATCGGCTATGCCCGTTGACACGTGTTCGTCCCATGTTGTACGATGTTGCCACAAAAGCTTCGTTGCCATCTCAACATCGGTATGTTATGATTTCCGCCCATGTTCCGGAGGATCAGTACTCTCATATGAAGGCACGCCGGGAGGGATGTATGAGCGTAGGCAAGGTGCAGATGGCGATGAGAAGATGTTTGCCGGGTGTTTCTCTTCGATAAGGTAATTCAGTACCGCCGATGATGAAAGAGCATGTCTTACTCGCAAAAGGGGCAGGAGATGAGCCAAGGAGAGGAATAGGTAAGGAAAGGTGAGAAATTAGAGAAGACGGGAAGGTAGGTGAAGAGATGAAAGTGAGAAGAAGGCAGGTTAATGTGGGAATGGATGGGAAGGGGGAGATGAGGGAGGAAGAGGAGAGAAGAGGAGAGGAGAGGAAAGGTCAGGAAAAAAAGGGAGAGGAGACGACAGGGCTGGAGAGGAGAAGGTCGAGACGAGAGCAAGGAAGATGCTAAACATTGGCCACATCGGGCAGGGAGGTTGCATCCGACCTGCAGGTCTTCGGGAGCATCCTCTGCTTCTCGTGACCTCCCCGTCTGTCCCCACGGAGCCTGTCGGCCGTGATCCCCGATGCCGGCACGAGAACACTGCAGACCGTCTCGCCAAGGTGGACGAGTCCGCTCACGCACGAACGCAAGGCGCGGGATGCCGCCGTGGACCCATCGCCCGGGCAGAGGGCCAGGGCGCCCCCCGTGGCCATCTGGGCTCAGAAGGGCGGCCTCGGGCGAGCTCGCCGACCGCAGCGCCAAGTTTAGGAAAGCCAAGGTGGCCCTCAGGAGCTCTCCTCCTCCTCCTCCTCCTCCTCCGCCTCCTCCTCCTCCTCCTCCTCCTCCTCCTCCTCCTCCTCCTCCTCCTCCTCCTCCTCCTCCTCCTCCTGCCCGCACAGTTTCTCCTTCGAGGCCAAACTCGGACTGCAGCCGCTGCCGCCGCAGAGGCAGTGAGCGCCGCACTCCCGGCGGGCGCCCTCCACGCAAGAGTTTCTCGGCCAGCAGGGCCCGCGAGAGCGCGCGCTGGCTCGCAGAGGTGCTTTTGCTGGCACTCCTGCTATGCAGCCTCCCGACTCGGCGCGGGCCGCCGGCGCAAAGGGGGTGGTCCGAGGAGGCTTTCGGATGTGCCCAAAAGCTTTCGCAGGGTTTCGGGGCCCAGGGTGATTTCCATGAGCTGCGGCCCGTCGATGGCATCCGGGGATGCCGGAATCGTCCAGAACGGCCGCGTGAGGCCCGAGGGATGTTCCGAAAGCCATCATGGTGTCTGCGGTTTGGCCGGTCCGGTTGTGTCGCATTATGTTGCGTTCGGTCGGGTCGGTTCGGTTCGGTTCGGTCGTCGCATCGTTGCTGCATCGCTGCGCCCTTCCTGGCCGCTTGCGGCTTCGGTCGGTCTCGGTCTGTCCAGCTGGTTTTCGGCGGTGCCGCCGCCGTGGGCGGCCATGCGCAGGGGGTCGGTCGGCTGCGGCTAAGAGTGGCCCTTCGCCGCATGGCCTGCTGGTTCGGGTCCCCAGGGGTCCCCACTTTCACTGGCTGGCGCGCTCGGGTTCCCGCATCCCTTCGGGTGTCGAGAAGGTGCCACGCATGCCACACGCATGCCACGCGTTGCGCGCCTGGCGGCCCCCTGGTCCGTGGGCCGAGGAGGGCTCTGGCCATCCTCGCCTTCCCCCGGTGAGCACCGCCTGCCCACGCCTGCTCTGCAGGTGCTGCTCGGCCTCGAGGCGGAGCCCCCCTCTGCGGGCCCCGGGAGGCCGCACACCGAGGGGTCACACTCTCGCCTGGCTGTCACTTCCCTGCGCGTGAGGAGAAGGAGGAGGAGGAGGAGGAGGAGGAGGAGGAGGAGGAGGAGGAGGAGGAGGAGGAGGAGGGGGAGGGGGAGGAGGGAGGAGGAGGAGGAGGAGGAGGAGGAGGAGGAGGAGGAGGAGGAGGGGAGGAGGAGGAGGGAGGCGGGAGGCCGGCGGTGGCGGTGGCCGCTGTGGGCAGGGCGAGCTCGCGTCGGTGGCGGAGGGGCAGCGGCAGCTGGAGGCCCACGCGCCCCCCGCGCGCGCCTGCCTCGGAGTGCCCCTTCTGGGGCCAGGGCGTCGGAGCTGGCGTTCGCGGGCCCAACTGTCGGACACGCACAGAGGGGGGGGGTAGGGGGACAAGAGAAGGCTTCCTGGAAGCACCCCTGCTTCTTAGCAGGCGCGGGCCTCGTCTGCAGATGTAGGGCCGGCGCCTCCTAAGAAGCAGCCTGCTTCTTAGAAGCCTTCCCGCCTCCCCCATCTTACCTCCTTGTGAGGGCCAGGGCGTCAGCGGCGCCCCCGGGTGCAACCTCGGGTAGTCGGCGGCGCAGGGGCCACCACCGACCGGTCCGATTCGAGAAAGAGTCTGGCCAGCCCGATCCGACTCGATTCCGACATTCCGACGAGCCGAGGCCTCCGATGTTCCGACGATCCAGTGCGGCCCACTGCATGCATGGCGTTGCCGTGTATTCTGGCGCAGCCGATCCGATTCGATCTCGACTCCGTGCCGATGCATCCCGATCCGACGCACAATTCGATGTGATCCGATTTCCCGATTCGATACTGACTGATCCTGCGGCGCGCACCTGGAGGGGCGCGGAGCAAAGGGGGCGGCCTTCTGAGAAGGCACCGCAACTCCCAGAAGCCCTCCCGATTTCGAGCAAGCGTGTTTAATAGCTTGTGGGGGCTGGCTCGGACCTCCTGAGAAGCCCCCTGTCTTGTCATTTCATCCTGGGGAACGAAAGATTGGCTGGAGGGGATGGCCAGGAGGAATGGCCGGTGTTGCGTGTGGTTGGCCAGGGTGTGGCTGGAGGGTTGGCCAGGGTACTTCATGGATTGGTAGTTGATTGCATCACGTATAGTAGAAGATCGCCCCCTCGCCCAGCCCTCCTTGGCTGCCGCTAGGATAATGGAGTGGTCTTCGGAGGAGGTCTCAGAGCACCGCGTCGTCCAGAGCATATATCCCACATCCCCGACGATCAAAGCATCAGTGGTGGCGTGACCTGTATCAGCGGGAGACTGTGGCTGAGCGCCTTAGCTTTTCTGGAGTAGTTCTGAGCCGAGGGTGTGCTCCAGGATTTTGTCTCTTGCATGTACTTCGGCAGCTGTGTATTGGCGTTTATCCCAGACTTGCTTCGACATCCACAACCTTCAAGTTGGATGCAAAGGAAGTGCTTCATGTGCTAAATGTTTGCGTTGAAATCATTAAGACAGCTGGCACACATCCGAGAAACGTGATCATGGTTTGCTGTCTGCGGCAATGGATACGCAGGCGACGATATGGCATGCACATGCTCCCATAAAGGGAGCATAAGACGAGATGGAGTAGAAGCAGCAGTTAGCATTTGCAGAGGAACGCGGAGGGACAAAAGACGATCGGGAAATCAGAGACGACGAACGAAAAAGAATGGTACGGGAAAGACGAGGGAGGATGAAGAGGATAACGAGCAGGACGGGAAGGACATCGAAGAGGAGAAAGGGGCGGATGCGGAAGAGTTCTGATCAGGGCGGAGTGGGTGGTGATCACCACGACAATAATTTCCCGGGCAGCGCCGCACAAACGATTATTCACATTGAAGGGCACATCCCACGAGCGCAATCAACAGTGAACACGTCAACCATTAACAAAAGAATTGAGTTGTGCCAGACACCGAGCACGCACCCTTACGTCCCTCGCTCTCTGCTCCGATTCCTTGCTTTCGTCCCCTCCATCATCCCCCTGCCTCGTCCCCTCCATTCTCCTCCGCCCCTCCCTCCTCCTCCCCATCCTCCTCCTCCTCCTCCTCTTCCTCCTCCTCCTCCTCCTCCTTCTCCTCCTCCTCTCTCCTCGTCGTCATCATCATCAGCATCATCATAATCATCATCGTCGTCAGTAGCAGCAGCATCATCGTCATCGTCATCGTCATCGTCATCGTCATCATCTACCTCCTCTTCCTCCACCGTTTCTCCTCCTCGCCCCTCCCTCCTGATAACTTGGTAGCTGCGGCCCTGACCCTCATTTCTCCTCCTTGTCCCCCCGCCCTCCTTCCCCTCCCGCTCCAGTGCGGGAGAGCGTGGGAGAAAGAGTAAGATCACGATTTCGCTCCGGAGGGAGAGGACGACGACGACGACGACGACGACGACGACGACGACGACGACGACGACGAGGACGAGGACGAGGACGAGGACGAGGGCTGGGACGAGGAGGCGCCTCGCAGAAAGGGGCCACTGCACCTTGGCAGGGCGGGGTCCCACTTTGTCGCAGGCTCTCAGAGGCGCAGGGTGCGCAGGGCGCTCCGAGCGCCTCTGCCCTGTACGGCTATCCCCCAGGCTTTGGGGGGCGAAGCGCTGGGCGCAGTAGATAGCACCGGTGGCCCCCGCAAGGAGGCACAGGCGGTAGCCTTCAGGCGGAGGCGGAAGAGAAGGGCGAGGACAAAGGAGACGATAGACGATGAAGACACGGAGCAGGAGGAGGAGGACGACGACCACGATTTGGAGAGCAAGAGGTCATGATGATGACACGTTCCCAGATTTCCAGAGTCTCCCGTTGTTCTGCGCGGACTCCCGAGGACGAGGTCCGCCAGATACTCCAGCATTGCTGGAAGGCACCCCGAGCCGACGGCACCATGACATCATTCTCGCACTAGACGTGGACGAGGGCGGAGGGGAGAAAGAGAATGCAAAGGGGCAGGCATTAGGACACAGAAGGAAGGAGAAGAGAAGGGCGAGGACGATGCTTACGACGTGGAGGAGTAAGATGAGAAGCGAGAGGGGGGCTGGGAGGTAAAAGAAGAGGGGAGACGGCAGGAGCGGTAGCAGAGCGAGGGACTTGCAGCAGGAGCAGGAGCATGGCGAGGGAGGGAGGGAGGGAGGGAGGAACATTGTCCAAGGCCCGACGGTACATTGATAGACCAAGCTCGTCCTGTCCAGCTGAGGCGATCGCTCTCGGGGAAGCTTTAGACTTCATGTGTCGCGTCTGCGTCAAACCGGCCAGCACCAATGTGCTCTGCGTAAGCTTGGGGAAGAAGAGAGGGAGGACGGGAGCACAGGCGACGAGCGGCGGCAAGGGGTGCCGGGAGCCTTGAGACGGGGGTCAATGCAAATGGGGGTCGGCCAGAGCGCCAGATTCTGCAGGATCATGCAAAGCCAGGGCTGCATTGACCAGGGCTGACACGCAGGCTCCTGCAGGATCCCAAAGGATCTTGCAGGATCTTGCGAGGCCTGACTGACCCCGGTATGGCACTGACCCGGGTCAGTGGAAGCCCGAAGCTGGAGCGCACGCTCCCCGAGACCGCGCGCAGGGGTCGGCCCTCTGCCGCCACCCGCCGCGAGCGCGTCGGCAACCGCCGCGCACTCGCGCGGGCAGCTCGCGCCAGCCTCCCTGCCGGTCCCCAGGCCGCGCAGTGCTCCCTGGTCGGCGTGGGCGGCACCCTGGACCCAGAGCCGGAGGGGCTCGGAGGGCTCCTCCTCCTCCTCCTCCTCCTCCTCCTCCTCCTCCTCCTCCTCCTCCTCCTCCTCCTCCTCCTCCTCATCCTCCTCCTCCTCCTCCTCCTCCTCATCCTCATCCTCCTCCTATGGATGGGCTGCCCACCGCAGCCACCCAGAGCACGAGCGCAAACCTCTCCTCAAGATCCGTCCGGGCGACGCAGAGAAGTCGCGGCGGCGAGTTTCTGTTTCCGTCTTTGGGCCCCTGGACGCCGTGCCCTGACCCCGAGGACTCTCAAAGAAGAGTTCAGGAGGAAAGAAGAGCGGCACGTCACAAGAAAGTTGTGCACATCGGAGGAGAGGATCCAGAGGCGCTGGCCAGAGCGCCGGTCGGTCTCCGCCAAGTTGGGGACGCCGCGGCCCTGGCGCTTTTCGGGGAGCGCGCCCTTTTCGACCAGATGTCGGGGCCCTGGGGGAGCTTGAAATCCTCATGCTCCCCGCACCCGCGTCTCCGTACGCTCCCTACGTAGAAAATCGATGCAATCGAGAGGCTTACGCCATGCCGCCGCCCATCCGAAAAGAATAGAAGGTCATATGATCGATTTCTTATTATGTTGCTGTGTCAGCCAAGGCAGGAGACACCAAGCAGCGATCCCGCAAAGCAGGATTCACGGAAGGCCTCCAGGGACTATGATCCGGACAAGTGTGTGTCCGAATGGTGTGGCATGCGTGCCGTATTCTTAGGGCCTTGTAGGGTCCTTTTGGAGTTCTTTTGGAGCTCGCCTGGGGTGACTTCGGGACCATGCTGGCGTTCCGTAAGGAGTCATGGTGTCGGTTCACGTGGTCTTCGGGCCGCGTGGGGGAAGTGTTGGGCCCGTCTTGGAGCGGGCCTGGACCGTCTTTGAGCCACTTGGGAGCCGTCTTGGAAGCCAGCTCCTGCCTCTCTGGACGCCGCAGAGTGCCGATCGAGCCGCGGGGCGGACGGCCCGACGCGCGGCCCCGACCCAGACCCCTGGACGCCGCGAACAGCGTGGATTCGCGAAGGTGGCGCACACAGTTGGCACCGCTGGCTCCATGCACGTGCTGTCCTCTTGCCCTCTGCTTCTCTTCCCCCATTTCCTTTCTGCCCCCACAGCAGTGCTGGATCGGGAGGGCCGGGCCGCTCGGGCCTCGCCTTCGGCCCCTCCTGCCCGATGCAGTGCGAAAGATGGGAGGAGAGCGGGCGAACCGAATCACGGTGCACCCTCTTTGGTGCTGCGACTCGGTGACCTCCGGGGGCCACCTTCGGGCCCCGGGGCCATCAGGAACCACCAGCGACGAAGAGCCAGTCCTGGGGAGGGGTGGTCGGGGCCGAGAGCTCTGGGGGCCCACGTCTTGAAAAGGGCACGGCGTCGGAGGTCTGGGGTTAAGTCGGGCGTGCTGCTCTACAGGAGGCATATTCCAGAATAGTCACAGAATAGTCTGGAGACTATTTGTTGACTATTCTTGAGTATGGTGGAATATGTTTGGAGAAGTTTCCAATCTTCGTCCAAGATCCGCCTGTAGGAGGCCATGCCCGTCCTAAGTCGGGGGTCGCGCGCCCCTCCCCCCCCCCTGCGGTCCCTTGCCCACCGGTGGCAGCCGAGAAGCGCCGCGCTGGCACGGCCGCTGGGCACGGCCCCACGGGCCGCGCAGGGGGGCAGCGGGCGAGCGAAGCGGCGGCGGGGCAGTCCGCACGCGAGGCGGGACGCGCCCGGGCCTCCGGCGTGGCCTTTCGGCAGCGTGGGCTCAGGCAGGGCTCGCTTCGATTCCTCGGATTCGATTCGATCCGACTCGAGTTCGATGGCTTCCGATTCTGATTCGATGCGATTTCGGATTCCGATCTGGGCTCCGATTTGTTTTGTTGGACGCACGCTAGCCTGCCGATCTCCGCCGCTTCGACTTCTCCCGACGCGGCTGTCGATTTCCGCCGATCCGATTCACTCCGATGGCCGATTCGACTTGTCGATTCGATTCTGGGCTCTCCTGCCCAGGGAGGCCTGCGCTGCTTCCGTGACTGTTTTGGTGGCCGGCCCAGGGGCCCAGCCAGCGCACGCGGAGGTCGAGGATGAGCAAGGTCGGTCCGCCGTGCTTGCTGGTTACGACAAGAGGAGGTCTGGGTAGCTTAAGTCGGGCACGTCCCTCCACAGGAGGAATATTCAAAAATAGTCCAGAAATATTATGGGGACGATTCTTTGAGTATGTTTCAACCATTTGGGGGCATTTTTTGAGTATTTTTATTTTTCGCCCGAAGTCCGCCTGTCGGGGGGCACGCCCGACCTAAGGGTGAGCAGCAGGTCCCCCTCGGGCCCAGGGAGGCCCGCGGGCGGATCCGGCTCGCAGGGAGGCGGGGGGGGAGATCGGAGGCAAGAGTGTGGGCCGATCTCCAGCGGACATCCTACGGGGTGGCAATGCGTCTGGAGGCCGTTCCTCTCGACCGTGGCGCCAGCTTGCGGCGCCCGCCAGCCGCAGGGGCGCCGATTGCGTTTGTCGTGATCGTTTCTCGCCATTTAGCTGCTCATCTCGTTTTGGACGCATCGAGCTCCTGCGGTCAGCCTTCCAGAGCGTTTGCCCAACATGTTCCACACTTCAGAGCGCGTCCTGTGCATATGTAGCGTGCTGACGTTTATCCAGATCTTGACCACCCTTGTCAAGCCCACTGATGCCAGTGCTTTCCGAGGGCGCACTCCCGACCTGGCCAACTCGCGTGGCGTCGACCTGGAGATGGAGAAGGCCTTGTTGGCAGAAATCGAGGAGGTGCTGGGGAGCAGCCACCGCAAGGCAACAGAGGGCCGCCTCGGCCGCATCGAGGCCATCTTGCGAACAACCTACAATGCACTTCCCAAGAACGCACAGGGCCGCCTTGAAGACTCTGCCGTGCGTTACGCCATGCACAGGTTGTTCGTCCAACGCCACGCTTGGTTCGTGCAGGGCCTCGACCCGGTGGGGGAGTCGTGGAACACTTCGTTATCCTCGGTCATCATGCAGGACCAACTGCCTGCATACGTGCTGAGCCTCTTCGAGAGACGCATTGGCCACAGCGGTTTCGATCTGCACGAGCTCGCGGTGATGGCAGCCACGTTCGAGAACCTGGTGCATGCCGAGGCGCTCGGGCGGCTGGAGCACACATACAGGGCGCTCCTCCGCTCCACCAAAGACCCGCTGAGCAGGGAGGAGGCGCTCGAGGTGACGCAGTCGTACATGGCCATGTATGTGCTGGGCATGAACTTCAGTTCCACGAATCGGGAGGACTGGCTAGCGGGGCATACGGGGGAAGCGCAAAGGAGGGTCTAGGACCAAGGCAGCCCCCCAAGAGGGAACGAATGGAGGGGAGATCTTGAGCCCCGCGCCTCAACCCTCACCCCCTTCGTCGTGCCTCCACCAACCTTGTGGGCCTCCGTCGAAGTTCCGTTCCACCCAGAGGAACTGGTATCACAGCGTGACACGATTCTGGAGGTCTACCCCAGTTGGCCGGCCACGCAGAAGTTCCTGCTTGATGTGTACGAGGCGACAGCCCCAAAGCGAGACGAGTTGGCTTTCGAGAGTATCGCCACCGTTATCGAGGAGATTGGCGAGCGGTACGGGCGGTGGCAGGATCACGAGTGTCAGTCATTGAAGGCTGAGCTGCTCAAGAGGGAAGACGGCGACAGCGGCCGGGTGCGGTTGGCAGACTTCTACGGTGGCGCCCTGGACGGGGGCCACTGGCAGTTCAGCGAGAGCGTCCAGTATTTGCGCCAGCTCGGCGCGCTGGACGAGAGCGACCCGGCCAACCTGCGCGTGATCGTCCCCAACTATATCCAGAGTCCTTCCAATTGCGTGGCGTCCTCCAGATATTATTCCGTGTGCTGCATGGACGAGTGCGAGGAGATCAGAGGGGGGGGGCCCCACAATGAAGGGGAGAAGGGGAAACAGGGTCAGAGAAGGGGGGGGAGGAACAGAAGGGAGGAGGGGCAGCAGCAGCGGCAGTCCACCAGAGGACCCCCAGCTGCGGCCCCAGAAAAGGCCCCCCCTCAAAAAAAAACAAGGCCGAAAACGTTGAGGGGCCTTGATTCATCCATCCTTGGACCTCTATCATCTGTCCATCCTCCTCCTCCGCCCCCTCCTTCTCCTCCTTCTCCTCCTGCTCCTGCTCCTGCTCCTGCTCCTCTCCTTGATCCTGCTCCTGCTCTGCTCCTCCTCCTCATCCTCCTCCTCCTCCTCCCCCTCCTCCTCCGCATCATCATCATCATCATCATCATCATCATCATCATCAGCAGCATCAGCATCAGCATCAGCATCAGCATCAGCATCATCATCATCATCATCATCATTACCCCTTCGTCTTTGTATGTCGGATGATGGGCAAACCTTGTGCCGGATCTCTCTCGATCGTGAAAGCAATTCCTACAGAGCGCTACCAGCAGTCATTCTCGCCAACCTCGAGTGGGCCTCTTGGCCTGCAGCCTACATCCAGTATTGCACGCCCCCAGCACTGAGCCCCAGCTGGAGCCTTCTCGCGTATTGCCGAGTTCCTCCTCATCCTCTTCATCCTTCTCCTCCTCCTCATCCTCCTCATCATCACCATCATCATAATCATCAAAATCACCATGATCGTCATCATCATCAGCATCAGCAGCATAATTCGTCGGCATCAGCATCACCATCATCATCATCATCATCACCGTCGTCGTCGTCGACATCATCATCAACATCATTAGTAGAATCATCATTGTCATTCTCAGCATCGTTATCAATACCCAAATCGTCATCCACGCGAAGATCAGCATTATCAGCATCAGCATTACCATCAGAATCATCATCATCAGTATCATCATTACCTGTACCAATACATCGGCGCTCCGATAATTCATTCCAATTTGAGAGGCACGGCGCCGCGCGAATGCAGCGCAAATGCTATGCTGGAAGGGCGCGGCATTGCATGCCCCCTGGACAGGCGAGAGCAGCCGCGCCCCCGGGCGAACCCCGATCCCGCGCGGGGCGCGTTCCCGTTAACAGTGGCTCACCTGGGAAACCGTTTCTTCCGCAGGAAGTCCTGAGCGGTCTGCCCATCGGCGGCTCCGTCGGACGAGGCCTGGAACAACCGAGAAACCGTTTTTGATTGGAAGTTCCACGCGGTTTGCCCATGTTCGGTTTCTTCGGGGTGGGCCCGAGGAGCTCGATAACGACGTTTTTGCACGGAGTCTTAAGGGGGTTGCACATTTTCGGGTCGTTCGAACCGGACCCGGATTTTTTGTTGGGCACAAGTCCCATGGGATTTGGCCACATTCAGGTCGGCCGGTAATTTTTTCGGGTCGTCGCATGACAGAACCCGAAAGTTTGTTCCGCGGATGTCTTATGCCGTTTGCTCATTTTCGGGTCAGTACACCGTTTGGGACTTAAAACTTTAACTTGGGAAAAGGGAACCCGATTCCGCGACCCCGGGCGGGGGTTAGGCTCTGCCCTTGCATTGTACTGGGTCCCTCCAGCCAAACGGGGTGCTGGGCTGCCCATCGGCGCGCCGACTCTGCCCTCGCGACATCGCCCCCGTCCGCCCTCGGGCCCCGCGAGTCGAATCCTGTGCGCGCCACCCCAGATGGCCGCGGCGAGCACGGTGGCGAAATTGGGGGAACTTTCGAATCGGCGCAGAATTACCATCGGTTGTGTCATTAACATCACCATGATCATCTTCTTCATTTTCTTCATTTTCAGCATGATCTTCCTCACGTCATCATCATCATCACCATGACCTATATAAAGATGTTCTCCCGTTCTGTTAGCATGACCATGATCAGTCTAATCGTCGCCATCGTCATCATCATCGTCATCAACACTGTTGTCATCGCCATCCGCCTTACCCTCGTCGCCGTCGTGAATATCATCACCATCATTCATTATCAGCAGCAGCATCAGCATGAGCGTGAGCGTAAACGTCATCGTTATCATCCACATCATCAGCATCATCATCATCTGCAGCATCACCAGTATGACCATCATCAGCATCATCATCAGCAGCATTACCATCGTCATCAGCGTAAACGTTAGCATCAATGTCATCACCATTAGTATCAGCATCATCACCATAAGCAGCACCAGAACCATCAACATTAAAATCCGCGTTGACGTCAGCATCATCATCATCATGAATATCATCACCATCAGCATCACCGATTTTATTTGCAGTACCACCGTTAGCATGAGCGTTAGCGTCATCATCATCACCATCATCATCATTTCCCTTATCTGTATTATCATTAGCGTTAGCGCTAGCGTCAATCATCACCAACATGATCAGCATTTGCATCGTCATCATCAGAAGATGTACCAACATCACTAACATCATCAGCATTAGCATTAGCGTCCGCGTCATCATCGTCATCATCATCACCAGCAGCACCATCATCATCATCCCCCCCATCAGCATCATCATATCCATTTTCATATTCACCATCATGATGATCCTTCTGATAACCTTCCGAATCATGACGATCAGAATCAGCATCATTAGCATCACCCCTCCTGCGAGTGCGAGGAGATCATGCGCCATGTGGAGGACAGGGTTGGCGCGCCCGAAGCGAGCGCCGCTGAGCTCGCGGCGGTCGTCGAGTCTCTCCCCTCCAACACGTCTTCGGCCGAGCGCAGGACCGGGAGACCTTCCGTCGCTTGCACCGACCCAGTCAACCCCCACGCGCCCTCGGCCTTCATCTGGCGCGGTCTAAGAACGTCTTCGTCATCGAGGAATCGAGAGGCTGATGTCCCTTCATCAGCGGAAGGCAGCGGAAGACTGGTGAAAGTTGGCGGAAGTAAATCGAGTGGCGGCTCCGCCGCGGAATCCCGCGGAAGGTGGCGGAAGTAGAAGTTGCCCTCCCAAGCGATGTCAACGCTTTTTGGATTCAGTGTTTCCGGAACCCGCCGTCCTCCAGAAGGGAGAGGATAAAGTCTTGTGGGAGGCAGGGACGGCTGACTCTGAAGGCCCCGCTCGAGTCAGGTGGCCAGGGCATTCTGCCAAAGCCGAGGAGTTGGACGCAGCTTGGCTTTGGCGGAGCAGGGTGAAAAGGACCCCCCTGTCACTGCGTGCGCGCATGTTGGTCTCGCGCGCACTGTCAATATAGGCCGTTCCGCACCTCCCCGTCCGGTCCCTGCGTCTTTCTCACCCCCGCATCCTTGGCCTGGGTTTGCGTATGACACGGTTGGTCCCCTCGGGTGGCTCCTTGTCCTTCGCTTCTGAGTGGGCCGGCCGCGCGCGACTCCTGCTTCTGGCTCTCAAACCTTCTGCGCCTCGGCGCTGCGCGTGAGGCCGAGGCGCCAAAAAAGCGCGCTTTGCGGCAAAGAACCCATGACCGACAGATGGGTGGAAGAAGACCAGATCGGTTTGCACGGCGGTGGTTTTCCTCGAGGACCTTGTCGCCGACTCTCCGGCAGAAGCTCCAGGAGGTCGCGGAGCACCACGGGGGGCGCGTCCCTCTGCACGGGCGGCTGTTCACGCAGTGGATGCACTACGCCCATCCGAGGTCTCACCGATGCTAGGGGTTTAAGAGAAAGCAGCGTAAGTATGGAGCGTGTGCTTGTTATTCCGCTTCTTTCTTGTCTATGCGTATGTACATATCTATTAATGCAAACTTTTTGTGAATATATACAAGACTGCAGTGGCGCTTCGCGCCATGCACTTTGGTCCTTCGAGATACGCACGCCGGCGGCGTGCGTGCGCTTGCACATGTGCGCGCGAATATGTGCATACATGTCATACTGGCGCACGTGCATTCAAGCCATACACATATAGGCATATAGGTGTGAAATGTGCATATGTGTGTATAAGTTTGTGTATGTGTATACGTGTGTGTGTCTTGATGTACGCACATCTATATATATATATACATATTTATATACATATATATATATATTATCCATGCTTGCCCATACATATGTATGATGCCTAACTGAGCAGATCTACGTGTACACAGACGCATGTCTATATGCACGTACGCGGTCGTGGCCACAGCGGGGGGGGGGGGCAGAAACGCAGCGAAGGGCTCGCGAGTGCCCAAAGACTTGGGTAGGAGACGGCATGGAGGACACGACAGAATGTGAAAAGGCGACCTGGGCTTACCAATGACCGTGTCGTTGGGACTATGGAAGGAGCCGTGTGAGGGCCTTTGGGGGTTTCTTGACCGTATCGCAGCGGGACTCGATTATCTCGACGCTGAAGTTGTTTTGTGCCGCCGTTCGCTCTTGGGAGGCCTCGCGTTCAGAGTGTTAACGTCACGTGGACCTTTTTGAAGCTTCCCAAAGCCTTCTGAGGGCCTCTGTGGGACGTGGTGCAGTCTCGTTATGGCTTGGGCTCGTCTTGGGGTGCGTATTAGCTCTGTTGGGCTGCCTTGGGATCATGTTCGGGCTCTTGGCCCGTCTTGCGGGCCTCTTCGGAGTTTTTCGAACTTCTGTGGGGTCCTTGCGGAATCTTTTGGGACTATTGGGGTCCTCTTAAGGCTTCCTCGGGGCCTCTTGGGAACTTCCTGGGGCCTCCTGGGGCCCTGTCGGGATTTCTTAGGACGGTTTGTTTGGGGTACTCTTGGGCCGGTTTGGGGCCCTCTTGGAGGTTTATCGAGCCGTCTTAGGGCGATCTTGGGGGCCTCATGCGTCTTGGAGCGTCAGCAAGCCGAAAAGGGGAGAACTCAAACATCCCCGCAAACCAACGGAAATTCAATGAAGTTTGCCTCGTGGGGCCCTCTTGGGAGTGCTCTTGGAGGCCTCTTGAAGGCCTCTTGGGACGTTGTGGAGTGATCTCGAACTTCTGTGGGGTCCTTGCGGGATATTTTGGGACTCTTGGGAATCTCTTTGGGCTTCCTGGGGGCCGTTGGGGTCCCCTTCGGGCCTCTTCGGGGCCTCTTGGGAGCCTCCTGGGGCCTCCTGGGGCCCTGTCGGGACTGTCTGGGGGGCCCTCTTGGGCCAGTTTGGGGCCCTCTTGGAGGTCTGTCGGGCCATCTTAGTGCGATCTTGGGGGCTTCGTTGGGCGTCTTGGAGTGTCGGGAAGCCGAAAAGGGGAGAACTCAAACATCTCCCACAAACCAACGGAAAATCATTGAATTTTGCCTCGTGTGGCCTCTTGGGAGTGCTCTTGGAGGCCTCTTGGGACGTTTTGGAGCGATATTTGGGGGTATGACGGCTCCTTTGGGGTCGTCGTCAACCGTCTTGGGGCTCCCTGGGGTCGTTTCGGGGGCGCGCTGGAACGTTGCGGCCTTCTGGGGCCGTCTTCGGGCTTTCGTGAGATCCTCCCAAGTCGTCTGGGGGGCTGCCCGAAAGACCAAGGGTGGGCCAAATTCGCTAGGGAGGGGTGCGCTATTTCTGAGATCCCAGGCCTTTGTAAAAATATGCGAATAGGAATATACAGATATATATATATATATATATATATATATACACACACATGCATACATGCATACATACATACAATATTTCTATGACCCGGAAACCCCCACCCCACCCCCCACCACGGACCCCCCACCCTAAACCGGATCCTTCCCCAAGGGACGCTCCGGACGCCCTTTCGGACGTTTCGGCGGCCCCCTGGACGCCCTTGGAAAAGGTTCGGTGGCCCTTCCGGGCCTCCCAGGGCGCCTCGCTGGGCCTTGCGAGCCGACTGAAGGCGATTAGAGGGGTCGTCGGAGAGGCGCAAGAGAGACCCAAGACAGCGCAAGAGCGCTCCAAGAGGAACCTCGATGGTCTGAAGACGGCCTAAGAGGCCCCCAAGACACCCCAAGAGGCCGTTAAGAGAGCCCCGAAGAAGCCAAAATCGTCACATTCCCTCAGGAAATACATTTGTTTTGCATATCCGCTTTTTGGGTTTTCGCAGCGTCCAAGACGGCCCAATGGGCCCCCAATCTCGCCCCAAGACGGCCCGGGAGGCCCCCTAGAGGGGTTGAAGGCGGCCCAAGGGGGCCCCAAGACTGCCCCAGAGAGCCCCGAGACTACCCACAAGAAGCCCAAGATGCCCCCAGAAGGCTCCCAAGAGAGACCCGCGAAAGCCATGGGATACCTCCAAGAACGCCACTGGAGGCCGCAAGAGGGCCCTAGATGGCTTCAGAAGACCTCTGGAGGGCCCCAGCTCCCCAAGGCGGCCCAAGAAGCCCCCAGGACGGCCCAAGAGTGCCCCAGGACGGCACAAAAGAGCACCAAAAACGACCAGCCGGCGTTCTCCTACGAAATACATCAAGCTGACCCGACGATCTTGGTTCCACGTTTGAGGCTCGAGGTTTCAGTAGCTACCCGATCGAGAGAGACAGGCAATGGATCTAGATTCGAAATTCGACGATCGAAGATTTCATGAGTGCCTGGAGCCCTCCAGGCATTCGAAAGCGATCAAAAATCGATGTGTTCGGAGCTACTGTGACTTCTTCGGCGTGTCATGGGAACGCTCCTTACTTCCTCAAAGGACCTTCGCGCGCGAAAAAATCAGCATGATTTCCCCACTCCTGCGCACATGCGTGCCAGCGCATCGTCCGAAAGCGGTGTCAGCAGGCACCCGGGATATCGGAAAAATGGGCGACTGCATTGGCGCTTCGCGCCATGCGCCTTGTTCCGGACGCTTCCCTGGCAAAGCAATAAATCATCGCTTTCTTCAGCAGGGAGGACCTCGAGGCCTGGACGGGCGACCCGCCCATTTTTCCGATATCCCGGGTGCCTGCTGACACCGCTTTCGGACGATGCGCTGGCACGCTTGTGCGCAGGAGTGGGGAAATCATGCTGATTTTTTCGCGCGCGAAGGTCCTTTGAGGAAGTAAGGAGCGTTCCCATGACACGCCGAAGAAGTCACAGTAGCTCCGAACACATCGATTTTTGATCGCTTCCCGAATGCCTGGAGGGCTCCAGGCACTCAGGAAATCTTCGATCGTCGAATTTCGAATCTAGATCCATTGCCTGTCTCTCTCGATCGGGTAGCTACTGAAACCTCGAGCCTCAAACGTGGAACCAAGATCGTCGGGTCAGCTTGATGTATTTCGTAGGAGAACGCCGTCTGGTCGTTTTTGGTGCTCTTTTGTGCCGTCCTGGGGCACTCTTGGGCCGTCCTGGGGGCTTCTTGGGCCGCCTTGGGGAGCTGGGGCCCTCCAGAGGTCTTCTGAAGCCATCTAGTGCCCTCTTGCGGCCTCCAGTGGCGTTCTTGGAGGTATCCCATGGCTTTCGTGGGTCTCTCTTGGGAGCCTTCTGGGGGCATCTTGGGCTTCTTGTGGGCAGTCTCGGGGCTCTCTGGGGCAGTCTTGGGGCCCCCTTGGGCCGCCTCTCCGACGACCCCTCTAATCGCCTTCAGTCGGTTCGGAAGGGCCACCGAACCTTTTCCAAGAGCGTCCAGGGGGCCGCCGAAACGTCCGAAAGGGCGTCTGGAGCGTCCCTGGGGGAAGGATCCGGTTTAGGGGGGGGGGTCCAGGGGGGGGGTGGGGGGGGGTCCGGGTAACAAAAATATAAGAATAGAAATATGTATGTATGTATGTATGTATTTATGTATGTATGTATGTATGTATGTATGCATGCATGTATGGATGTATGTATGTATGTTTGTATGTATGTCTGTATGTATGTATACACACGTATGCTTGTATACATACAAATATACATGCATGCATGCATGTATACAGATATAGACATGTGTAGACAAGCGTGAATAACGTACATACAGACTGTTTCCAAACTTCCCTCTTTAAATATATATATATATATATATATATATATATATATATAGTATCTCTATCACTCTCTCTCTCTCTCTCTCTCTCTATCTATCTCTATCTCTCTCTCTCTCTCTCTTGCTCTCCCCCTGCTCACTTTTACTTTTTTCCTAGAGCGATGGGCACGGAGGTAGGGCAGCAGACGGGAACGTAAGTTTCTCGCCCCGCGCGAGGGAGTGCCAGTACCCTCACACCAGCGGCACGACGGCCCCGATGAGGGCAGAAGATTGGTATGCCAAGACTGGCTTGGACCCTTCCGTGTCTGCGGACGAGATGAGGGCGCACGCCGCCGTCTCCAACAAGTGGCCCAACAGCAAGGAGGGCCACGGCGGCGAGCGCACCGCGGTGAGCATGTGGACAATGGACGAGGAGCTGATCGTCAGCCGACCGACGCCGCAGGCAGTGCCAGCGCGCTCTTCACCGCTTCGAGGCGTGATTTTCTTGGCCACCATCGCTTCTGGGGCGATTGCGCTGTGGCAAACCATGAGCTCAGCGGCGGAGAAGGCGCCCCAGCTACTGCTGCCCAAGTACAACCAGAAGCTCAAGGTGTGAGATTGCCGAAGAGGCATCAGGGGGCACGCGCGCGCGTGCAGATGCTGTCCCCGTCACAAAGATCCCACTGGACTCCTCAACCCGGATAAACAATGCTGGCCGTAGAGGAGAGAATCGGCGCATGCGTTGATATTTCGATTGTTGAATTGGGCATGCGCTGCGCTCTAAACAGCAATTCTGTCGACGAAAGCAGCACTTGAAGGCTCTGAGTCTTGGAGTGTTGGGGTCAGATTGTTCCAAGATTGTCCAGGGACGGACCAAATACGGCCCGATGTCCCGAAGATATATCAGGATTTCTCCAAAACCGATTGAAGCCTCCTAGCCGCCCCGAGGCCCGAGGGCTTCGATCGTTGCATCACCGCCCCAAGGCGGGTCCTCAACCAGGCGCAGATTTCTCTCCGAGACCGTTGAGGACGCTTCCAAAACGAGCGGAAATCTCCGAGACGGCTCCAGGACCACCTAAACATGCCCAAGAGAAGAGCCCCCAACGTGCCCCCGAATATTGATTCAATGAGTCCCAGAGGCCCCATCTGTAACAATTCTGGCCCAAGCCATCTAGGCCCATGTTTTTGAGCTGACTATGGTCCCGCTGCGCTTGTTATATGACGCAGCCAACGGCCACGAAAGCGAGCACCCCGCCGGCAATCCTTGTGTGCAAGGGAGCGTCCTGTCGAAATGCAGGTTCTAAGGCGACCTTCTTCGAGATTGAGGAGTTGGTCCGTGGACTTGGCGAGTGCAGGGTGAGCGAAGTTGGATGTTTGGGAGCGTGCGGAAAGGCACCAAATGCTGTCATCGTAGAGGAAAACAAGAAACGTAAAGGCGACAAAATATTCAGTCGAATACGAAATGTCAATGCCAGCGCCGCAGTGGTCCAGAAAGCTCTTGGCAAGAAGCCGTGTTTGGACGACGTCGACCTCAGGAATCGCCTCAATGACATCAAGATGCGGGTCCGTTGCAATTATCGAGGACGCTTGCGGCGAATCACCGCCGCCCCCTGCCTTTTGGAAACGCCCATGTGGCCAGACGGTGTGCCGAAGTCTGGCCAAGCTATTGGACTATGTGTTCCCCCAGCCGTTGTGCAACCCCTTTAGGGAACGCTTTGGAGAGGAAGAGAAAGGAGGAGGAGAGGAAGGAAAAGGAGGACGAGATGAGGAGGAGGAAGATGAGGAGGCCTCTTGAGGCCCTCTTGGGGCCTCCTGGGTGCTTCCTGGGAGCCTCTTTGGAGCATCCTGGGGCCTCTTGGGGGCCTCCTGGAGCCTCTTAGGGGCATCCTGGGGGCTTCCTGGAAGCTTCGTGGGGGCCTCTGAGGGGGCCTATTGGGGCCCTCTGAGGGGCCTCTTGGGGGTCTTTTGGGCGTCTCTGGGGGCCTCTCAGAAACTTCTTGGCATTCGGAGCCCGTCTTGGAGCCCTCTCTGGGTAGTCGTAAGTCCGTCTTTGGGCGCTTGAAGGCCGTCTTGGCAGTCTATGGGGCCGTCTTGGGACATCTTGGGCCGTCTGGGTGCCCTTTCGGGCCGTCTTGCGGGCCTCTGTGGGGCCTTGGGGGCAATCTCGGGCACCGATGGGGCCGTCTTGGAGGAAGCCCGAAAAGGCCAGAACCCTAAAATCATTGAAGAATGAGGGAAAATCAATGAGTTTGGCCTCATGGAGGCCTCTTGGGCCATCTTTGGCGCCTCTTGAGCCATCTTAGGGTCATTTGGGCCCGTCTTCGGTGCATCTTGGGCCGTCTCGGAGACATCTTAGGGCCAGCTTCCTGGGTGGCCGCCTGGGGCTTCTGAGGGACCCCTTGGCGGTCTACTAGCGGGGGCAATCGTGGGGGCGCAGAGTGCGAAATGTCAGTTCGAGTTCCCCCCCTTGGTGCTCTTTTGGGCCGTTTTGGGGGCCTCCTACCATCCCCTGCATTAGAAAGTCCGGGTCGGCGCTTCCAGGCGCCCTGCATCTTCGCTCTTTGATCGGGTCCAGAGCTTCGACTCTCGATCGATCCTTGATCCTCCATCCTGGATCTCAGGCTCCATCGGTCCTCGATCCTCGATCTTCGAACGACCCTGGATCCGCGATGAATTCTCGATCCTGGCTCCTCGATTTTTGGTCGACCCTGGATATTCGATCGCCGATCGACCCTGGGTCCTGGATCCTGGAGCCTCCATCGGTAGATCCAAGATACTCGGACGCCGGTGGACCCGGGATCGTGGATCCTGGATCTTCGATCTTCCATCGTTCTTCGATCCTCGGTCCTCGATCTTCGAACGGCCTTGCACCCCGGACCCTGGAACTTTGATTTTGGTACGAACTTGGGTCGTCAATCGGTCCACCTCCCTCGGTCCTCGGTCCACCCACAAACCCCAACGCGACCTCAAGACGACCTCAAGATATCCACCAGATGACCCTCGCGGCCACAACGCTACCTCGATATGACCCCGAGAACCTACAGAGCAGAGGAATGCGCGACCAGAACCTGATCTCAGGGCGGACCGATGATGGTTCCGCAATAGCCCCGAGAGCCGAAGGAACGACCGCCGCTGCGGGCAGCCGTCCGGGCCAAGCCAAGACCGGCAGAGTGGGCATGCCTCGACAATGCGCAACGTGAGACACATGGAAGTCAAGATGGAAGATGTTGAGAGAAAGAGGAAGAGGAAGCCAGTCGCGCCCGTGCACGCGCGAATTGGACGCCACGTTGCACCGTTAGGACAGGGTCCACATCATCCCACGTACGCAATGAGACCTCACATGCAGGTGTACCAGGATGACCTGAAGACGCGTTGCGAAGAGAAAGTCTCGCGCACAATCGCCGCTGTCTTTCGGGATAGCGCGGGGCAAGAAACGCGGCCGTGAGGAAGTCTCAACCGAAATCGTCTCGCACTGGCGGCATGACGTGGGTTGAGAGGAAATCCCACGGCAAACGTGCACTCCTTGGCGGCATGACGTGGTGGCAAGATGTTTGCTTTGCGTCGCAGCGCGGCAGAGGCAGTCCGCACGCGCGTCCAAGCAACCCGGGCCGCGGCATTGCGAACTATCTCGCACGGCAAGAGGGGGGGGAGAGAAGAGGGCCAGACGCGGAGGAGGAGGAGGAGGAGGAGGAGGAGGAGGAGGAGGAGGAGGAGGAGGAGGAGGGAGGCAGAAGGGGGGGGGAGGCGCACGCCCGCGGCGAGGCCGCAGCGGGGCGCGCGGGGCGGCCAAGCCGGCGCAGCGACCCCCGGCAGCGGGCGCGGGGCGGCATCGCGAACGCACCCCAAGGGGCGGGTCCAGCGGCTGCAGTGCGGGTCGAGGCCCCGCAGGTCGGAGGGAGGGGGGCCAGAGCTGCAGAGTCCACGGCAGTTACCCGTAAGGGTTTTTAGCAAGCCCCCCCCAATCAGTGAAATGGAGACTTGTTCGCTTGCACAGCCTGGGCGGCGGCGATTGCGATGACTGCTGAGCCAGGATGACCACAGACTAGAGCTGCACAACGGATGGGGCCCCATTGAGGCCAGGGGTCTCCGACAGTCCAGTGCGAGAGCAGCACAGGCACGGGTGCGCCCCTCCAGCGACGGAGCAACCTGGCCATCGGCCTGGAGCCTCAGCCGCAAAGCCTCTGAAACATGCCAGGCGCCAGCACGGAATCACACTCGAGCCGCGTCCCAGCGCGGCAAAGCAACTGGACATGCTCAGCCCTTCGGCGGCATCTTGCTGCTGTGCCCGCGTCTCCTGGCTGCTCCTGCTGCCATAGCCGCGGGGCCTCTGCAACATCCCAGGCGACAGGAGAAGGAAAAGGAGGAGGAGGAGGAGGAGGAGGAGGAGGAGGAGGAGGAGGAGGAAGACGAGGGGCAAGAGGAAAAACATACCGAACAGACGCTGACCAGAAGGAGGGAGGGAAGCAGCAGAGGCAGCGCAGAGCAAGCAGGGGGCGGACGGAGGTGGTCGTCGTCGTGGCCAAGGCCAGGGGGGGTCGTCGGGGCAGGGCGTCGGGGGCGGTGGTCGTGGTCAGTGGAGGGAGTGGTCGTGGTCAGGGGAAGGCGGCGGTTCAGGCGGCGTCGGCCGCGCTAGCCGCCGTGGCCGCCGCCAGCCTGGCCGCGGGCGCCCCGACCGGCGCCTGCAGCCTGCGGAGCACGGCCCGCGCATTCTCCTTCTGGAGGAGATGCGAGAGTCGCTGGGCGTGCTCCGCCGCCACCTGCGAGGGGTCGTCCCCCGTGGCGTCCGCCGCGCGCTTGGCCAGGACGGCCAGGGCGCGTCGCGCCTCCTTGCCCCAACCGCCGCCGTGCGCCTCGACCACCATGGGAGTGAAGGTGATCCCGGCGGCGGCGCAGCTGCGCTCGGTGTCGAGGAAAAGGCGTTTTTGCTCCTCGTACCGCTCGGCCGCGGCGCCGGGCGCGGCAGCCGAGGCGGCGAGCAAGTCGCCCCGCAGCCCCGAGGTGACCGCGAAGTCAAGGGCGGCCGGGGCGCCGTTACGCCAACGGGGAATATACACATCCGCCGGGCGCCGGCCGCAGCACCAGGAAGCCCAGGGCGCTAGCGCGGGCAGCTCCTCGTGCACTGCTTGCAGGAGGGCTTGGCGGTCGAGGGCGTTGAAAGCGCTGCTCAGGTCTAGCTTAACGAACACCTTCTGCCTGCTGCCAGCGTGGCATGCGAACCACTGTCGGGACACGTGAACCACGGCCCCGCAGCCGCCCGGGAGGGCGACGCCAACCTGCAGGGGGGCGAGGCGGTCGCGGGCGGCGTCAGACACCTGGCTGCAGAGGCACTTCGCCACCAGGCGCCGCACGGTTTCCCCCACCGCCACCGGTCGAAGGCCGCCGTCCTTCTTGGGCAGGGCCACCAGCGAGGCGCCAGCCAGGTACTCCGCCACGCCGGGGGGGGCTAGACCCTTCGCGAGGAGGTTGGCGAGGCCGAGCAGCTGCTGCAGAACCTCGTCGCGGTGGGCCGCCGTCTGCAGCGCGTCCTTGAGGTGTTGTGGCCGCAGGCCAGAGGGGCCTGCAGCGGAGCCCCGAGGGAAGGCCCGCACCTCGCGCTCGAGCGAGGCGGCGTCTAGCTGCGGCGCCGCCGCTGCGCTGACAGCGGGCAGGCTGGCGGCGTCCACTGGTCGCTGGCTGCGCGGGTGCTTCAGACGCATCTGCTCCAGCACTGCTGCGGTGACCTCTGCTGGAGGCTCGCTGCGAGCAGATCTTGGAGTACTGCGCGTCCGCCGAGAGTTCCAGGCAGCGCTGCGCTCTCTGGGCCGCGCGGGAGGGTTTCGCAGTGGCTCGTCTGTCCGCGGTCTCTGCCCAAAGCGAAACGCGCTCTCCCTTCAGCCAGCGCTGGCAGAGGTTTTTGGTCAGAGCTTCCGCCGCGCCCCTGCCGCCGCGGCTCCCTCGCGCGTGCGGGCGGAGGACGCGCTTGGGCAGCATGGCAAACTTCAGCCACGCCTCCTCGGTGTTCTGGTGCACGGCGAGCGCCGCCGCCTGCGCCAAGCAGCGGGCCCAGAGGACCCGCGCCCCCTTGGGCACGTAGTGTTTGGTGCTCGCTCGTCGGGAAAATACCTCTTGCCAGGTGGGCAAACCGCGCGGTCGGGGGGCGCCGTCGGCAGCTGCCGGCGCGGCCTCTGCAGCGGCTGCTCGCGCAGCGGGGCGGCACTTCGGACACGCGCGCCCGTAGCGGGAGTGGAGGTACCGTTGGCAGACCGAGCATTGCGACAGACTGTGTTCGTCCAGGTAGGCTTGTGGAACCTGTGGGAGGCCCGGAAATCTGCCAGCCGCGTGTTCGTTGAGGCGCGGGCGCATGGCCCCGTGGTCTGCCCAGCCAGCGCTGGAGGCAAGGTCAGCGCGGGGGCAACCTGGGACAGGGCAGCCGACGCGGGCCCCCCAGCCGACAGGGCAGTCGGCGGCCTTATTGACGGAGTGGTGCCCCACCAATAGAGGGAAACTAAGTCTTTCTTTCTTCCCCCGCGGCGCCCTCCAGCAGCGCTCTCATGGACAATCTTGGTTCAGACACTTGGCAACCAAAACTTTACCCTGGAAGCTTCATCCTGAGAAGGAGTGTTGAAGCTCCCGCCCCGCGCGGGCCCTCAGAAAATCCATCCTCTGTCGCGTGGACAATACAAAACTGTGGCGAGTTCCGCATTGTCCACACTGGAAAAGTCGCAATGCTGGCCACGCGCGCCTACCAATCGCCAGCAGGCGTTCTGCTCACAGTGCTAGGCAGTCGCCTCAATGGGAGTCGGCGCGGCTGCTGGGGGGGTGCGCAAGTAAGCTGCAGTGGCGGACAGGGAGCTGGGGTGGCTCATCGGACTGGCGACGCAGCAGTAGCGAAGGCATGGCGCGTCCGCAGCGCAGGGCAGGTGGGGGGCCAGGAGGAAGAAAAGGAGCGAAGAGGCCAGGCGTAGCCGGTTCGGCCAGCGAGGAGCCTCAAGACCCGGGCGGCTGCGGGGGCGGCGCGTGAGAGCCACGCAAAAGGCCGCGGGCGGGCGGGGCGGGTGGGGGGGGGAGGCAGCAGAGCCAAGCCCAGCACCGGTGCACGCATCACAGTCGTGGCTGGGCGGCGCCGGGTCGAAGTGGGGGCTGGGCGAGGGCTCTCGGCGATGAGCCGCCGGGAGGTACAAACGGGAGGGCGGCGCAGGAGCGACGCCTCCCAAGTGGAGGTGGGCAGAGCGCCACCGTGCAAGCGCCACCGGCTAGTAGGCGCGGGGGCGTGCCTGCTGGGCCTTGTCGGCCTGTGTGGCGGCGTGCGCTCCAAACGAGGCCAGGGCAAACGGGGCCCCAGGTAGGGAAAGCGGGAGGCGAGTGCGCCCGCGGCAGAACGAGAGGCGCACAACCTGGGGTGGGTGGCGCGCACCTCCCGGAGAGGAACCAGCGGGTGGGTGGCGCGCAACGAGGAGCATTTAACCGGCGCACAGGCAAAGCAGGTTGAATGAAGCGCTGGGGCGAGCAGCCGCGGCAGGAAGGAGGCGCGCCACCTGGGGTGGATGCCGCGCCCGAGGAGCGGGGATGGACGCATTGCCCGAGGTGGACGACGCGCCCAGCGGGAAGCACCTAACCGGTGCACAATCAGGTTGGTCACGATATGGGCCAGAGCCACAGCGGGAGAGAGGCACGGCACCTGGGTGGATGCCGCGCCCGCGGGACGGTAGGTAGCGAACCACGCGTGGTGGATGGCGCGCTAAGTGGGACGCACCTAATCGGTGCACAGACAGCCGAGCGAACGCCAGAAAGGCGGGTAGGGAAGGGAGGCGCACCACCTGGGATGGATCGCACGCCAGGGGCGGGGAAGAGCGCACCACCTGGGGTGGATGGCGCGCCCCGAGAGACCGCACCTCACTGGTGCACAGGCAGGTTGATCACCAGCTAGGTCAAGCCGCTAGCCTACAGCTGAGACGGGTGCACCACCTGGGGTGGATGGCGGGCCTGAAGGCCGGAAAGCGGCGCAGCGCTTGAGGTGGATGGCGCGTTGGGCGGAACGCACCTAACCAGTGCACCAACAGGTGGATAGGTAGTGCGTGGCACCTCCCAGGGTGGAAGGCGCCTTGCCGTGGTCGCAGTCCAGGTAAGGCTTGTGTCGACCCCTGCTGGGTCCAGGAGCTGCATCCGCTGACCCTTCGCGGTAGGCTGGGCGTCCAGCTAGATCCCTCGCAATCGGGAGTGGTCTTTTGCGGACCACGAGGCCTCGCTTGGGCACATGCCTCCCTGGCCTTTCCCGCCCACTGCCTGGATCTGGCGGTCCTGCTGCTGCTGCTGCTGCTGCCAGACAGCGCCCCACTTGACTTCGAGGCGGCTATAGCGGCAGACGGTGCGGATGTCGCATTGGGCCTCGACCAGGTCGTCCAGGAAAGCACGGCAGAAGTCGTCGAAGCCATGGGAGCTGCACCGCCTTTTGCCGGTGCCTTTTTCATCCCGGTGCCTTTTTCATCCCTCTGGTCGCAGGCCTTGTTCCAGCCTTCCACGAAGAGGGCGCCACAAACGCCTTTGAGGCGGTTGGTGGTCTCCGTTGATGGTCTCTGGCCAGGTCTCGTCCCTGCCGTCTCTCTCTCTCTCTCTCTCCACTGAGGCGCCCACTGAATGTCACGCCGAGGCATCTTGTGCGGTCGGTCATGTGGGTCGTTCCACTCCCTCCGCTGGGGGGCCTCCCCCCGCGTTCCGTGTGTCTCCCAGCCACGGTCTCTGAGCCGGTTGCCCTTGTCCCAGGAGCCTCATTGCGCGTTGTCTGAACCTGTGCTGGACCATCCACCAGACCATTCCGTCTCTGCACGGGTCTGGCAACGGGGCCTCCACCCTGTCCCTGCGCCCTGGGGCATCTCGTCCGCTGAGGCGCTGGACTGGTGGCAAGAAACACTGTTATGAGGAAGTCCCACGCCAAATTTGCATTTTCTGGCGACATGCAAATGGTCCAGAAACATTGTCTTGAGGAGGTCCCAAGCGAAATCGCCACTCTCTGGTGGCGTAAGAAAGGACCGGATAGATTTTTGTGAGGGCGTCCTAGGCGAAGTCGCCACAATCCGGTTCCCTCTTAAATCGTCTGGTTAATTGGAAAGGGTACCGGACTTTTGTCGGGGGAAACATGGGCTGGAATGCGATGTTCCGGTCATTTCCCAATTTTGCGAGAGGGTGGATGGATTGGTCGATCGCCGATTTGGACTTTGGAACATTCTATTGGGGCCCCCCGACCTAACGGAAACCGAAGAATGTTTTTTTCCGCGACCTTTGTGATTTGGAATTCTTAATCCAGGGGGTTGTAGACCTTCGTGGGCCCCTCTTGGGCTGTCTGGAGGCCTTCTTCGGGTCCTCTCGAGACGATCTTGGAAGCCTCCTGAGCCGTCTTGGAGCGTCGGAACCCCGGAAACGCGAGAATGGTACAATCATGCAAACTTGAAGGAAAATCTTTGATTTTGGCCTCTCTTGTGTGGCATTTTCAATCCCTGGTGGGGATTCGTGGGAGCCTCTTGGGCTGTCTAGAAGTATCGTGGGCAGTCTTGGGGCCTCCTGGTACCGTTTCGAGATGCTATTTGACCCTCGGTGGCGCTTCTCAGGAAGCGTTCGGAGTTTATCGGGTCGTCTTTGGCGGGGTCTTCGCCACGGAGGCCCACGCGACAAACCCCAGGAGCGCTTGGCAATTCTGGGAATTTCGTGGCCTGGGTTTCCAAGCATTTTGCAAAGCCTTTCTATCGAGCTTCCAGAACTGCAGGAGCCTAGGGGCCCTGCACTGCGTGCTGAAGGCACGGTGGCGGATTCCCTGTGGCGTTTGGAGGCAATTTCCGAAGTATCCAAGCATACCGCAGTCTATCATTTCACATCAAGAGATCCCTCGAGAGGAACCCCCAATCCCATTGGGCGCGGGCGAACGGTCTGGCCCAAAACTTGGCACACGACATTGCGAGTCGAAAGTGTAAACACTTGCCAGGGCTCGGCGCCTTATACTGAACGAGCCTACACACCGATCAGCTCTGCGACAGAATGGGAGAATGGCAGGTGTGATCTGTTGATCAAGATATACAGCAGCGGAACTGCGACATCGTGGCTATACAAGCAGCCTCTGGGATGCAATGTGTGGCTGTCTCAGCCTCATAAGACACTAGATGTTCCCAGCTTGGTTCCTGATCTCAGCGCGGCAACTTTCAAGCGGCCTGCGAGTGTACTCTTAATTCTGGGAGGCACTGGCATCGTAACCGCAGCACAGGTTCTGCAGCATCGCGAGCCCGTCAAAGAGGGCGTTGCGCCGGCGATGACAGTACCAGTGAGTCTGATATGTTCTTGTCGGGAGGACGATGTACTTCTGGCAAAAAGCATGGTGGATTGGTGCCAGGGGCGATTGGACCGATGCACTCTGTTGATGACACCGTCGCAGCTTGGAGTGTTGCCCTTGACTACTGCTGGTGAGCAAGAGTTAAACGCACCGAGAGTATTGCCTTTCCCTGCCGCAAGCGAACCAGTCTTGGATGAACTCGAGTCTCTCGATAACGCAAGGGTGTTACATACACGTCTGACTGTTGAACTCCTTGTTGAGGAGCTGTCAGCAATGCAGAGTCCTTGCAGAATTGTTGTCTCTGGTCCTGTATCATTTAACTCTGATGTGACACGGATTCTGTCTGAGAACGGAGTGCATGCGGATGCGATTACTACGTTGAGCGCTTGAAGCACGATTGTGAGGGGAGCTTGACTCGTCATCGGCCTTCATGGCAAGGTCTCTACCAGATCAGGCCATGATGGACTGTGCAGGTCGTTTGATTCGGTACAACATCTGCTGCGCACAGCTGTTTTCGGCTCTGCCGCCAGGCCCTCTCCCAGATTCGTGGGCGCAAGGCACCGGGAGGCGCTGGCAGAGCGGGCTGCGCATGCCTCTTTGACTACACCCCTACCTTTTCCGCTCGACCTGGTGTGGGCTCTCACCCCGTGATTCCCTCTCCTCCTCTTGCGTCGTCCTCCCCCAGGGAACCCAGAGATCCGACCCTCCGAAAAAATTGGAGCGGAGGGTTGTGGGCCGTTTTCGGCTTCCAGGAGCCCTCAGCGGGCGTCAAAAACCTTTCGGGACGAAAACCGGCCCTAGGGAAGTGGTCCAGACCTCCGGGGCCCACGCATCAAAATAAGTTGGAGCAGACAGAGGACTGGGAGCTGGTCTGCGGTTGCCAGAGGTGGTCCTGGCCCAGGGTTGGGGGGGTTCGGCAACGACGAGCTTTTCCGCAGAATGCATTGCAGTACAGGGGAAGGAGGAGGGGGAAGGGGAGGGGGAGGGGGAGGGGGAGGGGGAGGAGGAGGAGGAGGAGGAGGAGGAGGAGGAGGAGGAGGAGGAGGAGGAGGAGGAGGAGGAGGAGGAGGAGCCCCCACCTCTTCGGGCCATCTTAAGAGGCCCTGGGGCCCCCAGGGCCTCTTCGGGGAGGGGGCGCCTCCAGGGGCCACTTGGGCCTCCCCCTATGGAGAGGCATTGGGGCCCGCTCTGGGTCGATTTTTGTTCGACCCTGTGCAGAGGCATCGTCCCGAGGCAAGGCGCACATCGAGGAGGTCCGCTCTCCCGAGTCGCTGCTGACTGGGCCTGCCCCCGAAGACGGCATTCCCAAACTTGGGAAAATTGAAGCTAAGATGCAATGGAAGCCCAGGCCAAAGAAACACCCTGCTCGCCTCCAGGGTGCCCTGGGTTTCTTGGGTTTCGGTGGTTTTGCGACGGAGAGCATGACGTTCTCGCACCAAAAATCAAGGGACGTCCTGGGGTCTCAGGGTTGGGTTTCTTGTGGGAGGCTTCTTGTGGTCGGGTCCCTACTGTATGACTTCTTGCGCACGTGTTGGGGCAGTGCTCCCATACGCGTCTTTTGTATGCACCCCGTCGGGTTACGGAGTCGGTCTGGCTCGGAAGGATCCCGCAGTGGACGAAGCGTCAGCCCGCTACTGATAACAAAATTGCACCGGCGTGCTGTGCTTGTAGGGCTTGGTTGTCTGAATTGGAGAGGCTTTCTGGCTTGTTCCGCCGACCTTGAAGGAGGATCCGGAGGTCTTTGGAAGGCCACGAAGGCAGTTCGACGATTATCCCAGAACGACTGCAGCAGCCCCTCGAGTTCAGAGACGAGAGACAGAGTACCGTGACACCTCTATCGAAGACGCCTACGGCGAATCACCGCCAGCCCCTGACTTTTGAAAACGCCCACGCGGCCAAACGTTTGGCCGAAGTGTGGCCAAGTTGTTGGAATACGTGTTCCTACAGCCATTGTGGACCCCCTTTGGAGGAAGTGCGAGAAAGAGAAAGGAGGAGGAGAGGGCGGGGAGGGCGGAGGAGGAGGAGGAGGAAAGGGAGGCCTGTTGAGACAGTCTTGTGGTTTCCTGGGGGTTCTTCTTGGGAACCTCTAGGGGGCCTGGCTTCCATTTCCGCTGGAGTTTGGCAATATCATTCTTGTATTTGGTGGCAGTGGCTGAGTCGCCGAGCTTGGTCGCGAGGCCCACAAGCTTCTGCATGTCTGGGATGCCGACTGGGCCAGTGAGTGTGTAGGTGCCTGCCTTCGGCGGCGCGCTGTAGGGGGGGGGGAGCGAGAGGGGGCGGGCCTTTGATATGAAGTTTCGGAGGGCCTCGGGCCTCAGAGTTTTTGGCTGAGCCTCCGGTAAGTCTTTTTCTGAGCCTTCCCCCGGAAGGCACCGAGAAGTCTCGGAAGGTTGGAGGATCTCTGAGAAGCCCCGTCGCTTTCCGAGAGGGCCTTCTCTTTAGAAGGAGAGAAACGGCATAAACATAATTTTTTGGCGCTCCGTGCAGATTTCTTGGATCTGTGCTGGACCCCCTTCCCTGGCCCCCGGGGGGGCCAGCGCGGATCCAGGAAACCCGCGCGGAGCGCCAAAAGTCAATGTTTATGGCGTTTTTTCTCTCCGATCCTCCTCACGTCCCCCCCCTTTCGGCACGCCGCAGACTCCCAGCCTGAGCTGCAAGGAGCGGTCGGACCCCCCTGTGATGATAAGCGGAATCACACTACGACGCGAACGTGATGTAGACGTGAACAAATATGATGCTGTTGTTTCTTTATCGTCGCCTTCGCGATCAAGCACACCAACGTTGTGCGCCGGACTGTGCGTATCCTTGTCTGAAGCTCTGCGTGCCCAGCTTGAGCACCGGCCTGAAGCTCATGATTGCGAAGTCGGTTCCTGAACAGCACGATTGGGCCATTGATTAAGCCCCCGGGGGAGGGGGCTTCCTGCGAGCGGGCGTAAGTGGTTTTGAAGTAACCCTCATCATCGTCCTCGTGATAGTGGAGGCCCTCTTCCAGTGTCTCCCTCACCCGTTCCTCCTCGCTCTCGATGAGCTCCTCCAGCCCCCTGCTCGGCCTCCAGTCCCTGTCTTTGAGTAATTAGGAGTTCCTCCCTGTCGCACCCCGGGGCCGGTCGGAAGGGCGTGCCGGGCGTTTCGCGCGACTTTTCCTCCCCACGTGGAGGGCGCCGCAGGCCGCGCTGGAGGCCTCGGTCCGCGCGGCGGAGGAGCAGCTCCGCGCCCTGCGGGCGGAGCACCTGCAGGCGCCCTCTCGGCCAGCCGCGCCCGCCTCGGCGTGCGGGCCGCCGCCGCTGCCAGCGTTCGGCCGCCGCCGCCGGCGCCGCGGGCTCTCGGCGGCGCGCAGGAGTCGGAGGATGCTAAGTTGAAGTCGGGCCTGTCCCTCTACAGGAGGAATGTTCCAAACTAGTCGAAGAGTCTGGGGGCGATTGTTCTACTGGTTTTTGAATTTTTCGTCCGAAATCCGCCTCTAGGAGGACGTGCCCGACCCAATGCCAAAGTCCGCACGGAGTAGGTCCGTACGGGGTGCTCGGTCTCCGATTGGGCTCGCTCCGTCTGGACTTGGCCGCTCCTGACAGGGCGCCAGGGCTCTGCGGAGCGAGTCCGCACGGAGTGCTCGGCCTCCGTCTGGGCTTCCTCCGTCTGGACTTGCCCTCTCTTGACGAAGGTTTCCGGGGAGGGTCCCACGTTTTCCGGTGGATTCTGGAGGCTTTCGGTGCCCGTGATGGTTGCCATCGGCTGCGCCTCGTCGAGGGCGTTCCGGGGATCCCTGGGATCGCCCAGAGCGGCCGCTCGAGGCAGAGGTACGGTCCGGAGGCCTCCGGTGCGGGCCCACTGAGGTTCCTTGATCGCCGAATGCGATGCGATTGCGGCGACTTGCCCGCTGGGGCTTTGGCCCACCACCCCGTGCACCCCGAAAGCCGCGCACCAAAGCTCGTCCTTGCCCAGGGTCACTGCTGCGTGTCGCTGAAACAGGGGGATCGGAAGGATGTCAAAGGTTTTCAACCGTTTCGGCCGTTTTCGAGGCTAGTGTTCAAGGACGTTCCACGGATTCCCGGGATCGCCCCGAACGGCCGCCTGGGGCTGAGGCTGTGGTCCGAAAACCAACAGGGATGAGAAGGATGGACGAAGCGGATTGCTTTTGCCACCTTTCCCTCTCACCCTTTCGGTCCTCTCCTTTGCCGTCCCCTTCTCGATCTCCTAATTACTACCTCTCCCTGTCATGTACATCATCCCCCTGTTGCTTTCATAATATCTCCTCCTCCTCTCCTTCTCCTCCTCCTTCTCCTTCTCCTCTTTCTCTTCCTCCTCCTCCTCCACATCTCCATTATTTTCATTATAATGAGTAATAATAGCATCCGTATTACGCATATCATCGCTATTAATGCTAAGAATAATATTGTTGATAGTCTCAGTATCAGTAATCGTAGTGTTATGAATACGAATGGTAGTACTGTTGCTGGTATTAATGTTACCCGCATTATCTTGTGAATACTTACTATGACTATAAGTAGTATTACTAAATATTTGTTGAGCAGCATGAATTATAGTAT